TTAACCACCATGTCACCTGCTGGTCCCTATATAGAGAATATAAAGAGAGACAGTTTTCTTTAACGGTCAATGTGAGTTCTGGAGTTGAAGAGTATGATAACTGAGATAAAACACTGCCTAGAGTGGCCCCACAGTAGAGTCCAGGGCGCGGGGAAAGGGTCTATTACAGATAAGGGTCAGAGACCCTGGGGACACAATCGAGCATGTCATTATGCACAGAAGAGAGTTCCAGAAGAAGAGGGCGAGTGGGTTGGAGACTATTTTTGCAGTGATAATAGCTGAGGCTCCCCAAATTTGATGAGAAACGTCCCTCTACATTCAAGGAGGTGTACAAACCCCAACTCAGAGAGACCCGCTCCTAGACAAAGCATAATCAAACTTTGTCAAAAGAAAAAAAGGAGGCCAGCAGGTGGTGAGGTGGTTACGGCACTGGACTCCCACATGGCCAACTGCAGTTCGAGTCCTGGACCTGGCACCTCACTTTCTCACTTCTCTCTCCCTCCCTCCCTCTGTCTCTCTCTGTCTCTCTCATGTGAGTGTGTGTGTCCTGTAGCAAACTTAAAATAATAATAATAAATAAAATTAAATAAATAATTCTTTTTTTTAGAGGTTTTTGCTATAGGGCGCGTGCGCTCGCCAGACAGACAGAGACAGAGAGACAGAAAGTGAGAAATAACCCCCTGGGGGGATGGTCACACCGCAATCCCTTCTCCTCCGTTCTCCTCTTGGGATCTTGGGCACGCACGCACACGCGCCCGGCGTGAGATTAAGCCACCAGGTCCGGGACTTGAACCGCAGTTGACTACATGGGAGTCCAGCAACATAGCCATTACGCTAACTGCTGGTCCCTAAATAAATAATTCTTGAAAAAGATAAAAAAAAAAATCTTGAAAGTCACAGCACATATGAGGACTCTTCAATAAGATTAACTGCTGATTCTACATCAGAAACCACAGACTCCAGAAGGCAATGGAATGACATATTCAGAGTACTTAAAGGAAAAGACCATTTGGTCAGCCTGTGGCCTGGAGGTTATGTGCATTGTGCTGAACATGGCCAACAGTGTGGTTCAAGTCCTGGATCCAGAGGTTTGAGAAAAATGCTAGCACAAGTGTGCGCGTGTCCAAAATCTGACAGGAGAGAACACCGAGAAAGGACCGCAGTGTGGCCATGCCCCATCGGGGCGCTTTCATCCTCTCTCCATTGAGCACACATACCCTCTGGCAAATTAAAAAAAAAGAAAAAGACTGTCAATCAAGATTCTGTATCTAGGGTCAGATGAATTTCAACCAAGTTGCCAAGACCATTCAATAGAGGAAAGAGTACTCTGCAACCAGTGGTTTGGGGACCACATAGATCTACAAATAAAGGAGTGAACTCGAACTCTGATTTTATACCATATACAAAAATTAACCCAAACTGAATCGAAGTCCTAAATGTGAGACTAAAACTACATTCTGGGCCAGCTGGTGGTGTGGTAGTCCAGGTGGCCGGGTTCCACAGGGCCAGCTGTGCCATTCGACGCCCAACCTGGCAGCCTGAGGAACACCGGGCACATGTGCATGCATATGCCAGAGTGCCAGAGGGAGCTAGGAACTGCAGACAAGGTGTACTGTGGCCATTCCCCAGGAGGGCTTCCTCACTCTCCCTCCTCTCTGTCTCTCAGTGAGTGCAGGCACCCTCTGGCCAATTTTAAAAATAAATAAATAAATTTAAAAACTATAAATTCTTAGAAGAAAGCATAAGTATCTACCTTTATGACTAAGAAAGAGGCAATGGCTTCTTAAATCTGAAATCTAAAAACAAGCATCAAAAGTAAAATCAGACAAATTGGACTTCACCAAAAGGAAAAACCTTTAGGTTTCAAAGGGTACTAATCGGGACCAGCAGTTGGCTTAATGGCTATGTTGCTGGACTCCCACGTAGTCAATGGCGGTTCGCATCCTGGACCCAGTGGCTTAAAACTCAGGCCGGGCGCGTGTGCGTGCGTGCCCAAGATCCCGAGAGGAGAACGGAGGAGAAGGGATTGTGGCGTGACCATCCCCCCCGGAGGTGATTTCTCGCTTTCTGCCTCTCTGTCTCTCTCTGTCTGTCTTGGGAGCGCTGTCTCTCTGTCTCTGTCTGGCAAGCGCACGCGCCCTATAGCAAAAACCTCTCAAAAAAAAATAATAAAGGGCACTAATCAAGAAAATGAGAAGAGTGCACAGAGTGGGGAAAAAGTAACTGCAAATCATATTGCTGGTAAGAGACTAGCAAAAATAACTCTACAGGGATCAGCGGATGGTATTATGGTTGTATCACTGGACTCCCATATAGTTGAACACAGTTTGAGTCCCAGACCTGGCAGCGTAAAACTCATGCCGGTCACGTATGCATGTGTGCCCAAAATCCCAAGAGGAGAGTGGAGGAGAAGGGCTGCAATGTGGCCATCCCCCCCACCCCCCGGGGGGGTGATTTCTCACTTTCTGTCTCTCTTTGTCTCTCTCTGTCTCTCTGGCAAGCACACGTGCCCCTATAGCAAAAATCTCTCAAAACAAAACAAAACAATAAAAAACAAAAACAAAAACAAAAACCTCTTACAATTCAACCATAAAAAGACAAATAATCTTTTTTTAAGAATGGACAAAGAGGGGACCAGCAGTTAGCGTAATGGCTATGTCGCTGGACTCCCACGTAGTCGACCGCTGTTTGAGTCCCGGACCCAGTGGCTTAAACTCACGCCGGGCGTGTGTGCGTACGTGCCCAAGATCCCAAGAGGAGAATGGAGGAGAGGGGATTGCGGCGTGGCCATCCCCCCCTGGGGGGTGATTTCTCGCTTTCTGTCTGTCTGTCTCTCTGTGTCTGTCTGGCGAGCGCACGCGCCCTATAGCGAAACCTCTCCAAAAAAAGAAAAGAAAAGAAAAAAGAATGGACAAAGAGAGGCCAGCAAGTGACATGGTGGTTAAGGCTCTGGATTCCCATGTGGCCAACTGTGGCTGAGTTCTGGACCTCACAGCCTGAAAACCACATGTATGCAGCAGAGAATGGAGAAGAGACTGTGGCATGGCCATCCCCCTGGGGGGTTATTTCTTGCTTTCTGTCTTTCTCTCTGTCTCTCTTGGGAGTGCATGTCCCATAGCAAAAATCTCTAAAAAAATTAAAAAGATGAAAAGAATAAATGGACAAAATTAAACAGATATTTCTCCAAAGCAGATATATCGATGGTTAGTAAGTACAAGGAAAGATGCTCAATATCACTAGTCTCAAAACCACAATGAGATACCACTACACACCCACTGGGATAGCAATCACAACAACAACAACAATAATGGTTTTAACTAGGGTTGGTGAGAAAGTGGGAAAAAGCACAACGCTCATATATTGCTACTGTAAACATAAGATGGTACTGTTACTTTGAAGCACAATTTGGAAGTTTCTCAGAAAATTAACATAGAGTTACCATATGGCCCAAGAATATTGGAAATGACGATTCACACAAAAACTGTGTATAAACATCCATAGCAGCATTATTTACAATATCCAAAAAAGTAGGTATAATCCAAATGTTCATCAACTGATAAACAGATAAACCAATGTGGTACATCCATTCAATGGGCTATTCCAGCCACGCAATGAAATGAAGTACTGACGTATGCTACGGGATGAATGAAAATTGAAAACTATGCTAAGAGAAACAAGCTAGAAAGAGGGCCACGCTTCCTCTGACCCCACTTGTATACTATATCCAGCGAAATCTAATGGAACCAGACTGAGTGAGTGGTGGCTACCAAGGGCTGGGAGGAAGGGGGGGATGAAGAGTGATTGCGAATCCACACAAATGTTGTTTGTAGGAGTTGGGGGTGAGTTATGAAAGCATTATGGAATTGGGTTAGAATTAAGAGTGGTGACAGTTACACAATTTTGTGAATAATCTAAAACTTACTGAATTGTATACGTTAGGAGAGTGAGTTTTATGGTATGGTAAATATATCTCAACTTTTTTTAAAAAAAAAAAAAAGTAGGCCAGCCTCTAAAAGCCAGTGTTAGCCATTTGAATCTCTGTAAACATTTTCTTGGGTAGCTTTGAGATTTCTGAGATTTTTGATTAAGAAGATGGTTGGGGCCAGTAGGTGGCATAATGGTTAAGGTGCTGTCCTATGTGGTTGACCGTGGGTCAAGTCCTAGACCCAACGATTGGGAACTCAAGCCAGGCATGTGTGTGTATGTGTGTGTGTGTGTGTGTGTGTGTGCCCAAAACCCCAAGGGGAGCATGGAAGAGAAGGGACTGTAGTGTGGCCATCCCCTCTGGAAGAAGATTTCTGGCTTTCTGTCTCTCCAGTGAGTGCACACACGCTATAACAAAGGTCTCTCAAAAAAAAAAAAAGAAAGAAAGAAATTGACCTTGGCAATAGGCATATGAGGGAACACAAAAAGGGACATATGAACGTAACCACACAAGCCACACACAGCACACGGTGCACATGCACACACACGATACAAAACCCACACACCCTAAAGCAAGCATAGGTGCTTCCAGAGCCTGAGGAAGTACGGTCACAGCTGTTTTCCTGAATAACCACTTTCTCTACCAATGTCTCAGTCTGTACTTCTGCCAAAGCTGGAATACTGTAACTCGCCAGACTAAAGCCAACAGGGTCACCTATGATCAAGGCTCAAGTGTCCCCGACAAAACGCATGCTGAAACTGAGTGATCAGCTGAGTTGAGAGGCAGGGCCTTTGCGGATGATTAGGCCGGCAGGGCTCCACGCGGACGATCAGGGCCCGTATCACAGGAGCTGGGCCGGGTGGAAGGGCCAGGCTGGCTCCATCTGTTCTCCCTTTCGTGGGCTGGCTTCCCCCGTGATGCCTTCAGCCATGGGATGCTGCCCTCACCGGATGCCACCACCATGCCCCTGGACTGTCCAGCCTCCAGAGCATGAGCCAAGTAACCCGCTGTCATCGATACGTTACTAGCCTTTGTTACGGTGTGATAGAAGCAGAAAGCAGACCACGACACCTACCTTTAACACTGTCCTGCTGTGTCATCAATAATTTACTTAGTTCTGAAAACCAACAATCTCGGATTTCCTTTGAAGCTGCCTGCAATTGCAGAGAAGAAAATCTGTGAGTATCAGAGAATGAGTGACCTTAGAGTAATGCAGGCGGCATGGTGGTTCAGGCCCCGGATTCTCACATGGCTGATCACAGTTCAGGTCCCAGACCTGGCAGCATGAAAATCAGGCTGGGCACGTGTATGTGTGGGTCCAAACTCCCAGGAGGAGGATGAAGGAGAGGGACTTAAGCATGGCCATCCCCTGAGGGGTGATTTCCCCTTTCTCTCTCACTCGCTCTGTCTCTCTCCTGTGAGTGCACCTGGCCTATGGCAAAAACCTTTAAAAAAAGAGAAAGAAAGAAAGAAAGAAAGAAAGGAAGGAAGGAAGAAAGAAAGAAAGAAAGGAAGAAAGAAAGAAAAGAGGAAGAAAGAAAGAAAGAAAGAAAGAAAGAAAGAAAGAAAGAAAGAAAGAGCTTGTCAAGTCACGGGGACAGCTGGTAAAGAGCAGAGGACACAGAACGGGAGGCCCACGCTTTACCTGTAGGATGTATTTCTCCAATCCATTTTTGTTGGCAATTTCAAATTTTTTGCTGCTTCCCCTTCCAAGTTGGCGAATTAAAAGTGTCGTCAACTGTTGTAAAGAAGGAAGAACCATGTTCTATACTGTCATTTTCTAATTTGGAAATACCCGCCAGCCACTCTGGCCCCTTTCCTGTGACAGCTCCTGTTGTACCTCCCTCTAGCTGTTGGCCCAAGGCAGCCTACAATGCAGTCCGGCAGGGTCCTCCCCTCGCCCGTCTTACACAAGGAGAGCTGTAGCCCTCTCCTTTAAGGCCTGTCTCACAAACCTCTACCTAATACTAACCGGACGAGTATTTGTTCAGAAACAACAAAGACCGCTATGAAGAAACGAACAGCTTTAATCACAAGAGCATGTATATATGTGCATGTGAGCGTGTGCACACGTGTCCTAACTAGCTCTCTATGAAGCGTTTCCATGAGTGTGTCTGCACACGTGTGTGTCCTAACTAGCTCTCTATGAAGTGTTTACTGTATGGGTGAGAGACAATGTCTGGTGTGGACATAGGCCCGTGGGCGCCCGGGGCCAGGTGAGAGGCAATGTCTGGTGTGGACATAGGCCCGTGGGCGCCCGGGGCCAGGTGAGAGATGGCCTCTGCGTGGACATAGGCCCGTGGGCGCCCGGGGCCAGGTGCACCGTTCCTACACAAAGATGTGTAGCTGACAAGGGCAGGTCTCAGGTGACACGCAGCCCTCCTGGAATCACGTGTCTCCCTCCCCAGAGGAAAGAGGGTGCCCTCACTGATGAGCTTGTACAGAAAAACCACGTGTGGCCCCTTCTCCCCTCCCAGCATGCAGCCCTCGGGCCGGCCCTGGTCTGGGTAGGGACTGAGGAGAAGCCGGCTTGTCACACAGCCTGGGTGTGACTCCTGGCTCTGTCGTGTGGTTGGGGCAGGTCCACCTCCCTCTCTAAGCCTTGGCTTCCTTGTCTGTAGGCTGAGGTTACCCACATCTCTGGGGGCCGTGCTGACCCCAGGGACCCTTTACCTTCAGACACTTCTTGAAGCTGTACTGAGCAGGGAGCCCCTGGCCGCCGGGCTCCATTCGGACCTTACAGAACACGAGACCCCTTTCAAATAGGTAGATCCGCCTCTGGCTGGGCTTAAATCGCATGAAGTCCTTCATTTTGTAACGCTCCTTGTGAACTGTCCAGACGCTGAAAGGGCCGTGCAGCAAGAGCTGGCCCAGGTTTCCAATGTCGGCCTTTGGGAAACACAGACACAGGAAAACGCGAGCTGTTAGGCCACTCGGCCGGAAAAGAGCCTGGGGAGGCTGTTTCCTCCTCACAGAGCGTGCTTGTTTGAGGCTCACGAGGGGAAGGTGCCGCTCACACCTCCCGGTCCCTAAGCCACTGTTGGTGTGAGGGCATGTCACTACGGTAGGGCATCTACGTAAAGGGCATTTGCACACTTGAACCGAAGTACCGTGCCCTGGCATGTCCGTCTCGTAACTATTTTCAGCTACAGAATTCCATCCTCTCTTGTGTGTGACTCCTCACAGTCTACTTTAAAAGGGCCAGAAATGGGGGCCGGAAGGTGCTGGACTCCCACATGGCCAACTGCAGTTTGAGTCCTGGACCTGGGGGCTTGCTTTCTCACTTTCCCTCTCTCTCTGGTCAAATTTAAAAATAAATAATGATAATAACAACAAATTAAACTAAATAAATAAATAACTCTTTTAAAAAATTTAAAAAGGGTAATACATTAACATTTTAATCAACATTGTGTTCAAGAGAGAGAGTTTCTCGGCCGGGCCTGCGCAGCCGGGGCTCTGCTCCATGTTCCGCAGCCCGGGCCGCCCCGCCCCCGCTGCCTCTCCAGTGCTGGGTGTGTCCTGAGCTTGGCTTCGACGTGGGCTGGTGGCGCAGACCAGCTGAGGTCACCGTCCTTCCTTTCTCTGGCCGGGCAGGCGAATGGGAGGTGGCGCTGGGTCCCACGCACATTCGTGCACTTGGGGCTGGCGTGTGGCCGCCTGGCCTGTGCGTGGCTGCTG